AATGACAATCAAGATTAGCCCACTCTTCCATCAAAAAAGAAACTAATTCATTTGTATTTTTTGGAGGATTCCTTTTGTGAATTGTTTTTTCTAATTGGTCCCAAACATGTTCTATTGGATTAAGGTCTGGACTTTGAGCAGGCCAAGGGAGTGAAGATGTTAAATTTGCCTCTTTCCATTGAATTACTACACCAGCTGTATGAACAGGAACATTGTTATCCTGAAATGTAAAAGAACCATCCCCCAGTCCGTTAAGAAAGGGTAATAGATTATCTCTAAGAAGTCCTTGATAACCTTTACCACCAAAGGTCCTAGACAATTATTAACAAAACAACCCCATACCATTATACCACCTCCACCATGTTTAAAGGTAGGTACAAGGCAATCAACATCATACTTTTCTTTCAGTAGACACCAGACCCTTTGCTTGCCATCATTTTGATGCAAATTATATCTTGATTCATCACTCCAAATGACATAATTCCATTCTGTGTTCCGATTCTTCTGTTCTTTCCACCATTTTAAATGTTTCTGATGATTTTTTTCTGAAACAAAAGGTTTCCTTAATGCAACCCGACTGTAATAGCCTTCTTCATGAAGTTAATTACAAACAGTTGCACTACAGATATAATTGCACGAGTTACTTGTGACTGAGAATGATTGAGTGCACTGGCAATGTTATGAGTGCTTTCACCTGCTTCCCAACATCCAAATATTCTTCCTCATTCAGAGTCTGTTAGTTGAGACATGATGTTTTAATTAAAATAACAAATTGAAAGTTCAATCTTTTTTTTTTTAAAAAAAAATCTAGGGTTGGCTAGGTATTTCAGCCGCAATTGGCATTTAAAATTTGTTCATGTGTAATGATAATCATCTTGCATAAAAAATTATTTATATTTTTTTGTGTTTTGTATTAACTCTCTATGAATATTCCACCAATAATTATGAACATTCACATTTATATATTCGAACAACATTTTCTAAGTTCCCAAGATGCATTAAAACATTGTATCTTAAAATAGCTCTAAGTGCAACTTTTTCAAAAAATTTTCGAAAAATTTTAATTTGACTTTTAAACATCATAAAATTATCAATAATGCTCTTTTCCTTTTAATGTCAGTGTATTTTTCATTTTAACATTTTTTGATGTAGAAACAATATGTAAATCATTTACAATTATACAAAATAAAGTGAAGTTTCTTTCAATAAACTGATATTATTCATCTTATAAAGTTATATGTGGAACCATATGTAATAATTGTCTTTATGGTTGCTTGTCAAAACTTATCCAGAAATCAATCAGCAGAGTTTCAATATGTTACACACTAATTTGTTTATTAGAGTTTCAGCAGAGTTTCAGCAGTCATTAAGAGGTTTCAGCAAGCAACCTTAATTGTCTTAAATATTAAAGTAAAACAATAGGAATATTAGTCCTACCAAGTTGATTTTTATTATTATTATAAATGAATAAGTAAACTAGAAAAACTCTGTTATAACAATACTTTATTTTATTTTATCAAGTTCCAACTGTAACAATTTATAAATGAATTCCCTCACCTATTGTATGTAACAGGTTACTTCTTGATTATTGTTTATTGTAAGGTTTTGGACATAATAAATTCTATGCCAAACTTTATGTAGCAAAAATAAATAAATAATTCTAATATGATTGAAACTGCAAAAAAGTTAAATTTGTCATATCATCAAAACATACTTTAAATAAATACTTAGCAACAAATCTCATCATTTTCCTGGTCATTTGCAAGATCTTAGTGCAAACATGATAGAGTATTAGCTAGTGGTCTAATCTTTGCCATTAATAACATGTAACTATAGAATTGAAAAAAAAGGGGATTTTAGACCAATGGTTCCACTATATTAATATGCAAAAAAAAGCTACAGTCAACCCCTATAAGTGCACACCCACTCTATGCATACTCTCATTCATTCCCAAGCTTAGGGATTAGAGATAAATGCACACATCCTCCTCCCACACTGCACAGTCTTTTTCATTCCCATCTATATAAAACTCCCTCTCTAAATAAATGCATTTACATGACTTTCACGTGATAGTTTCCCAATAAAAATGGTGCGACTGACGTTATAAATTAATTCGTGATACGTGTATAAAAATCGACGAATTGAAATGCTTCTCTCCAATATAATTTTTAGATACATTAGAATCATAAAATTGCTTCACTTAAAAATTTTTTTATTTAATAAAAAAAAAATTTGTGTAATTTGTGGTACAAACTTAGGACTGATATACTGTTTCAACCAATCAATTCAACTTAATTTTCAACAATGAGGCTCATATGGGCGGATTTGACTCATTTCAATAAGTAAATTATGTGATACCTTGATAAAAATGTTATGTAAACATGTGATG